AGAGAGAGAGAGAGAGAGAGAGAGAGAGAGAGAGAGAGAGAGAGAGAGAGAGAGAGAGAGAGAGAGAGAGAGAGAGAGAGAGAGAGAGAGGATGGTTATACTGAATGTGCAAGCCTGTGGATGCATAAATGGCAGGTATGGTGCAGATGCTTATGCTATCTTCTGCCAAGGACGGTGGCGAGAAGTTCAGCCAGAGGATCACGTTTTGACTGATTATTGGAGGTTTTTACATGCAACAGATGGCCAGGGTTTTGCCTTTCATAATGGCTAAGGGTGGGCTGTGCACACAGTTGCTGTGCCAACTGGTTGGACGATACTCCATCATGTGTAAAAGTTTGGCGGGTTGTCAGGTGTGCTTGGAGGGTACTCCGGTCTGATGTGCCTTCCAAGTGTCCGTTTCCGTGTTGCTGCATCATCATCAGAGCTTCTGATACCTCTTGAATCTTGATGGCATTTAAAACAAAACAACTCTGCTTTTCCTTTCTTTTCCTTTCCTTTCCTTTCCTTTCCACCCTTCTTTTTCTCGTACAAAGCTAGGTGGAATAAGGCCGTGGTCACACTAGGATTTCTTTGCGACCTAACGTGGCCTTGTCGATAGTCAGAGTGGATTGAAAAAGTCTTTAAGTTTGAGTGATTGCTAATTAGTTCCTATTTGTTCTGAGAGTTCAGCTGGCTTATGCCTGAATGGCACACACCGAGAGCTACTACCGGTAGCCAGCACATTGAGAGTTGATGTCCAATGCAGTAATGTGAGGGGCCATCGGCACGTTCCTCTCTCCCACCCCTACCTGCTGTCTCATTTGTACTGTTAATGTGTAACTGTGGTTGATTCGATCGAGTTCAATGATGATTTGAATTTTGAGATTGCTTTATAAGCAACGTTAGTTTACTGATGAAGTCTTTGGTTGAGAGTCCGCAGCCATAATCAAAACTTTTTCGCCCAACTTTCTTATCTATTTCCCTTTCGCAATCAAGGAGTTGAGCCGAATGCATCTGTCCAGCCATCCATACATCCATCCACCCTCCATCCTCCATTCTCCATCCTCCATTCATTCAGCATCTCTCTCTCTCTCTCTCTCTCTCTCTCTCTCTCTCTCTCTCTCTCTCTCTCTCTCTCTCTCTCTCTTTTCACCCAAGATGTTTCTTGACAACCATAGCCACAAATCTCGGCACTAACAGTCTGTCATCACGTACCCAAAAACTCTTTAATCATCAGATTCATCACCCCACTTGGCCCGATCAGCAAGCCAGCTTCCCCCGCATTCTGCAGTCTGTTCCAGCGGCACACGAACCCTGCGTGATCAACACTAACTCATCGGGCCTTGTTCAATCCACTCGAACCTCAAAGACACACTTCAACTAGGTTGAACTAGCCACCACTCATGATCACGCTAACTCGGAAAAAAGGAGAGCGAGAGAAAGTCTCGCTTTCGACACTTATAGCAGTGCAGATGCAGACGAGAGAGTAGGAGGGGCAGTCAGAAGGAAGGAGAGTAGGAAGTTCCTCAGGAATTGCATAATTGAACCATAGCATGGGGGACTTAGCTGCTCTCCGTGCAACAATCCGAAGTGCATTATATATGGCCAATACAAGGAAGGGGAATGGGGGAAGGTAAGCATGGGAAAGCGAGTCGCCGGGTTGCCAAAAGCAAGCGAGGGGGAAAGAAAGCAGTTGAAATGTGCAATCAAGAGAAAGGAAGAGGGAGACAGTGATGAGAAACTTTTGGCGGGGAGTAGGGGGAATGGGATTGAGGCACAGGGAGAAGGGCATGTGCGCGCGAGAGGACAGAGTCTAGTTGTAAGCAGCAGCAAAGCAAGGTAGCAAGAACCCTTCGAGTCCTTATTCCTTTCTCTTCTCTGATGAAAAGTCTTAAATACGTACAAGTATAAATTTATGCAAAAGGAAACTGTAAACTACGTCGTGTTACTGAGGTCCGAATTATCCCACAGAAAATTCAAAAATTCAAAAAATTCAAAATGTCGTTTCACGTAAGTTGTCGTGCAAAAGACGTCATTGAAGATAAGGGACAAAAATACACGAGCACTTGAAATATGACATTTAGTCAATTTTTAACACCTACGACGGCGCGTTAAAAAATCTCACCATACGAAAAGGACATGAAACCGAATACAAATTACATGGCTACCCTTCGTCGTATGCAATTTTCCCCTGTTAACGAAAATAAGCCCCATCAATTGGATGTTTGTTAATTAATATTCATGTGTGCTGGGTTGCCGGCCCGAACGTTCGGAGGGGGTCGGACCTCCCCCCCGGACGTTCGGAGGGGGTCGGACCCCCCCCCCTGGACATTCGGGGGTTCGGGCGGGGGTTCGGGCGGGGGTTCGGGCGGGGGTTCGGGTCCTGTCCGTCCAACGGTTCGGGCCCTACCGAACTTTGTCCCGGCGCCTAAATGTTTTTAATGTTTTTAATATTTTCTAAGATAGGCTATGACCTAACGCACCTACCACTAAAATTTTGTGTTAATCTGTTGAGTGGAAAAAAAAAAGAAAAAAAAACATGGAAGATAGGGGGGTAAAAAAAAATTGAACCCTCCCCCTTTTTGATTTTGCCTTTTTGCTTTTGAACTTTCTCATATATTTGTATTGATTGATTGATTGATTGATTGATTCAAGTTCATTGACAAGCTTGGGTGGGGTTGCCCCCCCCCCATCACGAGCCCCCCTCCCTCAACCGATCAATCAATCAATCTCTCTTTTTTTTTTTTTTGTCTTTCTCGAACTTTTTTATATATTGATTGATTGATTTGTGCGGCCGGGGTCGCCACCCCCCCGCGGGAGTGCGCACACACACCCACATGGCGGGAGGGGGTTTTAAGATTGCAGGCAAAGGCCTCCCTGGCCATTTTTTTTTCTTAATTAAAAAATATGTAGTGTGAAGAATCCCCCCTCTGCAATACATCTAAAAAAAGCAAACACAAAAAAAAACTTTAAAAAAAATATTCACGATCGGGTTAAACTTATGGCCGGGGGGTCCTGAACGTTCAGGCGTTCGGGTTCGTGGGTTTGGCCGAACCTGAACGCCAGCTACCTTTTATATGTGGAAAACGATATGTGTACACTATGTAGACATAGTATGCCATTTTCTTATTATCGTTTAACAAATGACTAAATACAATTGACAAGGAGCAAATATTTTTTCGGAACGAATGATATATTATTGTTGTGTGAAATACAAAGATTCGTAATCTTTGTTTAGCCACTGTTGTATTGTTCAACAAACGTTTTTTGAACATATCCTTAGGTGTGTCCCCTCATATGTCAAATGTTGCTCGATCATATTATGAGCAATGATGGTCACTGTTTCTGCTTTTATTCAAGTCATGTTAAAGTGTTTATTGGGTAATATGTTATTGAAAAACATTGTTTGGTTAATGTTTGTCAAACATTGACCAAAGCATTGGGTGTACGATATCCCTTTTTATCCCTTTTATGTTACAGCCTGCGTAGCATTGTGTTTGCGTTCGGAGGTGTACCCGAACATGTTCGCCCAAACGCGAACTAGCGCCCAAAACTCTCTAAATGCGAACATAAAAAAACAAGTATCAAAAAATTCTAGGAAAAATATATGTCATGTAGAACGGCAATACAAGCAAGTTTTGCCTTGTAGTCATGTTTAGATTCTTAGCCAAACGTGAGTTAAAAATAAAAAACCGAAAACAAATATGTATATATTTTATTTTTTACGAGAAAAAAAAGTTTCGAACGTGGAGAGGCGCGAACACGTTCGCCGTGCTATGCAGGTTATAGCATTGTCGAGAATTCGATAAAATAAATGAAAAACAATGGGTAGCGTCGCTAAAATATTTTTGAAATCCTTTAAAAAAATATAAAAGTTTTATTATTGAAAGGAAAAAAATAAAAACAAGTCGTCTTGACACATATACAATTTTTGGTTATGCAAAGTTTTTTATATAAGACGACAAGCAAAATTTTAAATCATGAGAATCAAATTGTCTAAATAAATAATTCTTACATATCAAATAAAATTCTTTCTTCCACACATGCTTTCACACACACAAGCACATACATACAAAAACATACATATATACATTGTAACTAGGACTTCGCCTGGTTTGTTATTCCCTGTTCCTAATCACAGATATTGTTTGTGATGTTATTTGTGTGAAAATCTATGCCATCATCAAATATATTAAAATATATATTTTCTTCGTTCATGGTTGACGTCTTGAGCCTCGCCTTGTTATGTATGTAGGTTTTTTTGCGTATTAATCTATTAGGAAAATTGCCAACCATTTTCGTATCTATTTGCTCGAACCTAGCACCGTGTTGGCGTTCGGAGGCGAACGCGAACATGTTCACCCAAACGCAAATAAGCGCCCAAAACCCTCCGAACGCGAACATAAAAAATATTAAAAAAAAAAAAAATCTCAAAAAAATATGAAAAAATATATGTTATGTAAAATAATGATACAAACAATTTTTGCCTTGGAGTCATTTCAAATTCGTAGCCAATCATGAGTTAAAAATAAAAAACCGAAAAAAATATATATATGCAGAGTTGCCAAGCCGAACGTACGGAGGCCCCTAAGCTGACCCCCGAACGTTCGGGCGTTCGGGTCCCCGTACGGGGCCCGAACTCGAAGGGGTTTGGATCCCACAAAAAAATATTTTGGTACCTAAACTTTTTTTTTTTTTTAATTTTTTTTTTTCTGTGAGTTCTCTGTTATGTAAGCTACCTGTCTTTCAATTTTGAAGTCATTCTGTGGAGCTAAACAATAATGAAAAATCGGCAAAGATGGTGGTATCACAACTTGCTTTCCCACTTACTAATTTGTTCTTTTTCTCTTTTCACGTTTTGTTTTCCCTTTATTTCGGGGCCTGAAAAAAATTATTATTTTTTCAAACTTTATTTGTAGGTTCTCTATTATGCAAGATACATATGTATAAAATTTCATGGCATTTGACAAAGCCAAAAAAAAATAAAAAATCGCCAAAGATGGTGGTGTCAAAAACTTGCTCGCCCACGCAATAATTTCATTCTCGTTGTATTTTTTCTTATTTTTATTAATATTAGTTATTTTTCGTATTTGATTTTTATTTCAAAATTGGTAAGGAATTTGGATGTACTGTTGAGGCAAATGTTGTTTAGTTTATTCTTCTGCATGACATACTGTTTTTTCACAATTTTTAGAAACCGTTTTTTTTTTTTTTCTTTTTTTTTTTTTTGGTTTCTCGTTCGGCCGAACGTTCGAACGCGTCGAGAGGGGGTTTCAAACGTTCGGGCATTCGGGCTCGGGTGTTCGGCCCGTCCCGAACGCCGGCAACCCTGTACATATGTATATTTATTGAGTTTTTTACGAAAATAAAATTATGTTCGCCCGAATATGTTCACAAGCTGTTCGTGCGAATGTGAAGGGGTGCGAACACGTTCGCCGTGCTACGCAGGCTCGAATTACGCTTATATATACCTTGCAGACTTCACTTCTGATTGGCAAGACAATTGTGTTATCCATCTCTCTCATGCTTTTGGACGTTGTGGTTGTTTGAATTGGTCGTATCGTCCCATTGATGGGGTAGTCAAGAGGTAAATATGTGAAGACCACTTGTCGAAGTGTGCAACCAAAGTGACCAGAGGTTCTTTCATTATTTGCAAAGTATATCCTTCACATATTATTTGAATGATGTAGTTTTTCAAAGGTTAATATTTTTTTACTCTCTATGATATCTAGGCTCATTTTTGACTTCACTATTTCAACTTATCGTATTGATTTTAAAGATGATAGTTTTTGTCCCTTAAGGGTATGGGAGTGCCTATACTTAAAGTTGAGCATACCATTCATATTGCATAAATGATGTTGTAAGCGGATTTTTTTGTCTCACCCTATATGAAACTTGTTATACCAAACTGTAATACAGGAACGATGTTCTATAATCCTTCAGCGTTGTTCACGGTAAATATACATATTTCGCAGATTGATTGTCTCTCATGAATTGTAACTTGCTATG